ACCCCGCAGTTTTGCACCAGCACTTTGTGTTGGTGTAAAACTAATTTTTGTTAAACGCACCAACATTTGTGTCCGTGTAAATATTTATTAACGCACCAACACTTGTGTCGGTGTAAACCATCGAAATGTTTGTGCAAGCCTGTGGTGTACAAATGGGGTATATTTTTTGGTGTAAGTGTAGCATGATCCAATAAGGACAAAAAACAGAGCTTTTAATATATACAATTCAGGTTTTTTATTTTTTTCTTGTTTTTATGGCTCTTACATCTCACATTCTAACACACTACATGCATTCTTATTTCTTTCTTAAGATTTCATTCTCACTAGAACACACACACATATAGGGATTGACTCAAATGAAATAGATAACACCTTACGGTGAGATGACATGTTTCGGTGAGATGACGCGAAGCTCACCACACTACATTACAAAGCTCACCAATGACCAATGCAAAGCTCACCAGAAATATAGCAAAGCTCACCACTTTGAACACCAAAGTTCACCTTTTTTAAATTTTGAAAATTAAAAAAATTAACTAAAAATAAAATAACAACACCGGTGAACCACCGGTCAGTAGCGGCGTCCGGCAACCGGTGACTGGCGGTAGGCAGTGGCGGCAAGTGGCGGTGGCCAGGGGCGGCGGTCGGCAATGGTGGAGCGGTGGTGGCAGCCGACAGTAGGTGGCGGCGGCCGGTAGCAGGTGGCGACGGACGGCGACTAGCGGTTGTCGGTGGCGGTGGCCGGCGGCGGCGATCGGTTGTAAGTGGCGACGACAGGCGATGGTCAATGGTGGCGGTCAACGGTCAGAATCTAGTCAGCACCTCTTCATTTGATTTTATTTTTTTTTTAAAAATCAAAGTGCTGAAAAAATATAGTTGGTTTTGCCTTACAAGTAGGTAGGGTTGTAAAACGAACGAATAATTTTGATTCGATTCGTGATTCGTATTTGGAAAAATGAATACGAATATGAATATAAATATTTATTAGAATTCGAAAGAAAACAAACATGAATACGAATGTATATGTATTCGATTCGATATGTTATTGAAATATTCGAATTTAAATATAGAAATTTATATCTAATATATGTTTGCCTCATAATACAGAGTACTCCGTAGGGGCAAGATTTTTCTACACACATTCTCTCCAGTCCCTACTCTCGTTGGATATAACTAGGTTGTTGTTGTTGTAGCCATGTCATGTTTAATACCTATTAATTTTGAGAAAAAGACTAAAGTAAAAGTAAACACTGATAATAAAATAAAATAGGACTTGTATATTTTTATTTTCAAAATAAGAGTTAAAATGCATTTACAATATTATTATTTTTTAAAATGTGGTAGACATTTAGGAGGAAGTATGTTTTAATTGGGTTCGAATTATTAGACTCCAGACCTTAGATTTTCATTTTGAGTAATAATTTTTCTGGTTGTGCACTGTTAAAATTTAATTATCGATTTTAAATTGATGAGGACCTATCGTGACAGAGACCATTTACCCAATAATTAATGCCTGTTCGTTCAAAAAAATTGAACTACGAAAATCTTATTGTCCATCATTAAATTGTCAACCATAATTGTATCACATTTGTATATCGCAGTTATACACAAACATTTTGATGGTTTACACCGACACAAGTGTTGGTGCATTAACAAAAATTTACACAGACACAAAGTGTTGATGCATTACCAAAAATTAGTTTTACACAAACACAAAGTGTTGGTGCAAACCTGCAGTGTATAAAGTGGGGTACAAATAGCTTTATCCTTAAATTATGGTCTTATTTTGAGTAATAAATAAAGTCTCATCTCTGCTAAATTATTTTGAGTATATTACATATTTAAATATTATATAATTTTTTTATAAAAGTAAGTATTCATATACTATGGGATATTAATTTTATTTTATCAAATGATAGGAAGACATATATGTAAATAAAAATTATTAGAAGACTCAAATAATAAAAATAACTATAATTTTTGGGGACATAAGGCTTGCTAATTTCTCTTCCCTCCACATAATTTAAGGGGAGTAATAGTCACACCCGCTAAAAACTAAATACGCCCCGTCAATTAAATTCACCTCATGATGCATAATTTCAAAAATTTAAAATAAATTTACTTAATGAAAAAAATTTATATAAATTTTAAAACTATTCACCATTTATTTCATTTTATTACTTTTCAAAAAAAATACTCCGGAGTATACAAATTTCAACTTTAAACTTTAGTAAATTTTATATTCTTTTTTTCATTAATTTATTTATATAACTTTCATTTATTTACATTCAGATACCATTAACTTTATATAAATATTTCCATTTTCTAATTATTATTATACAATATGAATTTTACCATCTAATAATTAATTAATTTAATTATGGAAAAATTAAAAAATAGAAGCCAAAGTTTAACAATTAAAATTAATATATATATATATATATATATATATATAAAGTATAAAATGACATAAATGGTGAATATTTTTAAATTTTTTATTATAATATTTTTTTAAATAATATTTTTATATAAATTTTTAAAATAAAAACATGATTATGCGGGGTGTATTTAATTAACACGATGCATTTAGCATTTTATCGGGTATGGCTATCACGACCCATAGTTTAATCACACATTTTAACCATTACTCATAATCTTGCCTAATTAATGTTGAAAAGCCAAACAAGCTTACAAAATACTCTTTACGTCACTGAGTATTTGTCTATTTTTAAATTTTTTAGTCAAAATTGATAAACTTTGACCTTAAATTAATTAAAAGTGATAATCAGTATTAAATATTGATACAAAAATAATTTTAATTATAATTATAATATCAACTATTTTCAAAATATTATTTTATCTAATCAATGAACAATATATATTTTATTAATTATAGGTCAAAGGTTGAAAATAGTTGATCAAAAGAAGTTAAAACTGAACAAATACTCATGGACGGATGTAGTATAAGAATTGGGGAAGTTACAAGATGAGAATATATATTAGTTAGAGATTCTTCTTTTCAGAACAAATTTTAAAATTGAATGTTGGAAGAAGGTAGAAGTTGGAATAAAAACTGTTCAGAAATGTAAAAAATTATTCAATTAAATGATCATCCAAGTAAATATGTAATAAAACTAATTTTTTATAAAAAAAAATTATTTTTGTCTGTGTTTGAGTTGGTATGCCATTAATTTTGATATATGATGTTGATAGTTGTTTAAGTTGTTAGAAGAAACAAAAAAAATTAAAAGTTAATTTTCCAAACACAAAAAAACATGTCCTAAGTGAGATGAATATGTTAATATATTATGTATAAAAAATTATTAAAGAGTGAATGAAAAACTAATACTCAAAATGGGGACTTTGAGACTCTAATCTATATGATACTTGAGGAGCTTCTGTTTGGGATACATGCATAGGGTAGCAGTTAACACATGCACACCTCTTATAATTAGCTTGTCACACACTTACACATTTTATCTTAGTAGCAACACCCAAGGATATGCTCCCTCCGTCCCTAAATGGATTACAATTTTTTTTTTCTCCTCTCGATAACTTTTGTTTGTTTACGCAATTTCATTAAGTATTTGATAAAATAAAATATTCTTGTCACCTCTTGTTTTGTAGAACTTTTGACGTAGTTTTTTAATATGTAATTTTTATATCTTATTGATATACCAATTTGTAAATAAAATGATTTCAAAAAGTAGGAAATTTTATTCCGTAATCCGCAATTTGTAATCAAATTGGGGACGGGAGGGAGTATAACCTTTCAACGAATTCACATTGTTTTAGAAATTTCTATTCAAGTGTTCCGGCAACCAATAAACAATCCAACTATATATGTTCTCTTCGTTCTATTTTCACCAATTTTTTTCACATAACTAACACCTGTTTTAGCTAGTATGCAGTATAATTTTCAATTAGGTTGTAATTCATCAGCGATTTCACGACCAAAAGTCAATTTAAAATTTACTTTGAGACAAATAGAGTATTTTACATATCTTGAAATTTATTACTAGTAACTGAAATAAAAAAATTAGAAATTTTTCCATGTTGATGACCATCTAATCACTTTGGGGCAAATTTGTTGGCCTGATCAATTTTTTTAGAAGTGCTTCTATGGTGCATACTTATTTTGTGAATCTTCTCACATTTTTTTAATTTTTAAATTTAAAAAAATAAATGCTTTTTTAAATATTAAAAGTACTTATTTTGCTCATATATAGGTTCATGGTAAACTTTAAGTCCAGCATATAATATGTCTTTTTTAGTGGCATTGTGTGAGCACAAACATAATGTGTACTTAATTTAATGGAAAATAATAATAATAATAATAATAATAATAGTAATGAAAGTATGAATTATGAAACACTAAAAAAGAATAAAGAAAAGAAAAAAGAAAAAAGGAAAGGAATCCAAAAGGGCAGAAGCACATTGGCGTTTTTTGCCTTTTGCTTGTGTGCTTTCCCTTAGCAATTGTCTATGTCTGCTGGTTTTCCTGCTCCCCCCTGCAAATGGTGGGGAGTGTGGAATCGTACCTTACTCTCTTTGTCCACTTACCTTTTTGCACACCATCCAATGCACTTCTTTAATCCATTTTATCTTGTAATTTGTATATTAAAAAATTATAGAAATTATATATTAATAATCTATATGTTAAGACAAATGAAACAAGATCACACATGATTATATTTAGGCTTACACATTGAGAGAATTTGATAAGTCAAAGTGCTTAGATGAACAGTTCCAAAAATCAAAAGTGGACAAAGAGAGTGGGACAGAGGTAGTATATTTTACTTCACCCTTTCGTCTTCTTTATAATAATAATAATAATAATTATATAAATATTATTATTGTTATTAATTCTCTAAAAAAAGTAATAATAAAATATTAATACCGAGTAATCTTTTAACTCCCAAAAAACCTCACTCTTTTTATTCCACTCTATTGTGTGTGTGTGTATATATATATAGACTCCATTTCCAATTCCCTCTCATCATTATAGGATTTTTTTAGCATCCCACTCAGTTTCTTGCCCCCTTTTTTTTTCCTCCCACTTTTCAGTGGCAGTGATTTGTTTTCCACTGTTTCCCAACCTTTTTCTTGGTCGTATCATTTCTTGAGTGGGTCTGCTGGTTGATTCCCACCCAGGTTTTTTCTTTCTTTCCTGATGCTATTCCATTGAGGAAAACAAGAAAGAAAGGCTGAAAGAGAAAACCCAGCAGAAACCTCACTCGGTGGGTTTAGTTTTTGGATGGAAATTGATCTGAACCACGAAGCCAGGGAAGAAGAAGAAGAAGAAGAGGGAAGAAAGATTGGGTCTTTTCGTTATTCAGCAGAATGTGAAGAAGAAGAAGAAAGGGCTTTTGCCTCTTCAAGACCTTCTTCTTCTTCAATCTACTCGGAGCTATGGCATGCCTGTGCGGGCCCACTCACATGTTTGCCCAAGAAGGGGGACGATGTGGTCTATTTCCCTCAAGGCCACTTGGAACAGGCTTCTTCTGCTTCTCCATTGGAGATGGACTTCCAGTCTCTTGGAATCCATCCCCAGATCTTCTGCAGAGTTGAGGATGTTCTGCTTCTTGTGAGTACATGAGTTTCTTTGATTTTTCCCCCCTCTTTCTATGTAATAGTGATTTTACTATATTTATCTGTTCCAAAATTGCAGGCTAACAAGGAAAATGATGATGTCTATACACAGCTTACTCTTCTCCCTATCCCAGAGGTATTAAGGCTCTCTCTCTCTCTCTCTCTCTCTCTCTCTCTCTCTCTCTTTGGTATTAGTGTTTTGGCATATGATGGAATTAGGAGGGTGAAATTTTGTGTGGAAAAGAAAATATAGAGGAAAGAAAGAAATGTGGAGCATTTATTTAGGATACATTCATGATTTTCATCTATTTCTACTGTTTAAATATTATGAAACCTATACATATTTAAAAATAATAATAATATCTGAAAATCATTGTTCATGTTTCATTTTCTTTTGAATCTCCCATGGTAAAACCAAGCTCAAGAGTATAACTTTTGTTAGCTTTGCTTTCTCAATTCCTTTAGCATTTTCAGGGATCCGAACATACCCTTGTAAAGAAATTCAAGTAGTTTACTTTGATTAATTTATTGCATTTGGGGTTTATACAAACAGCCACTTGCTATGAGCCAGGAAGGTTTGGGAATGGAAGAGGATGGGCTGTGTGGAACTGCCCCCACCATAAAACCAACCTCCCATATGTTCTGCAAAACCCTCACGGCTTCCGATACGAGTACTCACGGAGGATTCTCAGTTCCTCGCCGAGCTGCAGAAGATTGTTTCCCTCCTTTGGTACATTGCTATCCCATTCTTCTTCTTCTTCAAATGCAATGAAAGAGAGACAGTGTTAATGTTTTTTTGTTGGATTATTTATTATTCTAATCAGGATTATAAAGAGCAGAGGCCATTTCAGGAGCTTGTTGCTAGAGACCTGCACGGCATTGAATGGAAGTTCAGACACATTTATAGAGGTACTGAATATATTTTGGTTAGCTCTTAAAAAATTGTTTGTTCAATGTGGAATCTAAGGGCTTGTTTGGTTGGTTTCGCTTTCTTTCCAACCATTTTAATATAAGAATAGATTAATTAACTAAATCTTACTGTAAAACCAAACGATGGCTTAAATGATCGATGCTTCTTTTTATTAGGCCAGCCGAGGAGGCATTTGCTCACCACCGGATGGAGTATCTTTCTGAGCCAAAAGAATCTAGTCTCCGGCGATGCAGTTCTGTTTTTAAGGTACATAAAAACATTTCATTAGTTGGTTCATTATCGGTAAAACTTTCAATTGTTTTATTATTAAAAAATCTGGGTTTTTTTTCTTGTAGGGGAGAAGGAGGAGATCTGAGGCTGGGAATAAGAAGAGCTGCTAGGCCAAGGCATGGCTTGCCTGAATATGTAATAAAGACTCAAACTTCTTTCTCCAGTGTGCTCTCTGAAGTGACAAATGCTCTATCTTGCAATACCACATTTAATGTCTTTTATAGCCCAAGGTATAGTAATTGCTCTGACCATTTTGTTGGTGAGTGGTTATTGCTGCTGAAGGCTATGGAAGTAATTTTGCATGGTTTAATAATGCAGGGCAAGCCATGCTGATTTCCTTGTCCCATACCAAAAATATGTAAAGAGCATCAGCAACCGGATACCCATTGGAACAAGATTCAAAATGAGATTCAACATGGATGATTCCCCTGAAAGAAGGTAGGACAAGAACTTTTAGTCTTGCCATTTATTCACATTTTCTTTTTCTTCATGATAAAAGATTCAATCTTTTGCAGGTACAGTGGTGTCATAACAGGAGTTAACGATCTGGACCCTTATCGATGGCCTGGTTCAAAGTGGAGATGCTTGATGGTACGCTGTAAACGTGTTTCATTTGCACATGATAACCTGTTTTGTTTTCTTTTGTTCTTGTTGCCATTGCATTCTAACTTAGTTTTTTTTGGCATTCATTCGTAACAGGTAATGTGGGATGATGATTTTATGAGCAATCATCAAGAACGGGTTTCTCCATGGGAAATAGATTCTTCTTCGGTTCCATTTCCACCGCTAAGTGTCCAGTCTTCACCTAGAATGAAGAAGATGCGAATCATTCAGCAGGCAGTGCCACAGGAAAGGCATTTTCCTGGTATGCCTAATACTCCATTAATGTTAAATAATCCAAATGAACAATAAGGGTCTGTCTGGAAAGGGTTATTCGATTGAATTTTTTGAGAGAAAAAAACGTTTGGTATACCCATTTCAGAACAATTTAGTTGGTGCAGCCAAACGGAGCCATAGACAGATTTTTTTCTTTTGGCGCAGGAAGTGGTGGTGCTGTATTAGACTTCGAGGAGTCTTTAAGGTCCTCAAAGGTCTTGCAAGGTCAAGAAAATTTAAGTTTCGTATCACCTCTGTTTGGAAGTGATTTTGGGAAAGCTAGCTGCCAGAAGGGTTTTGAGAGGCAACCCTATGGCCAACGGAATCTTGTTTGTGGCATAGGAAAGTCACAAATGGGTGACTTTGTGAGAACTCACCACCCTCCTGCCATTCAAACAGGCTTTCTGGAATCCAACAGGTTTCCAAAGGTCTTGCAAGGTCAAGAAATTTGCTACTTGGAATCAGTAAACGTGAAAAGTGACGTGAATCTCAGAGCGTGGGCCAAGCCCGATTACGGTTGCAATTTCAAGAGCTTCTACCCGCTCGGCTCTGATGGTGCGGTCAGAAAGACATTTTTGCCCCTCAATGGGATCTACAGAGCTGACAGCCAAGACCCTTTAATGCAGCTTCCATTCTTACCTACTTACAAGATTGAAAATCCCATCTCCCCTCAAGGGAAGGAAGAGCATGTAGTTCAAAATTACGGAAATGACCCCAACCCAGTGGAAAAAGCTTCGATTTTGAATATCAAGAATGAAAAGAAAAGCGAGGCTTTGAATGGGACTGGACTGCCCTGCAGACTCTTTGGATTTTCTTTGATCAACGAGCCATCAACCCCGAGCTCACAGAGTTCTGGAAAGAGGAGCTGCACTAAGGTAACTGTCAATATGTAATACCAGCTGCTGATGGATTTGTTTTTATTTCTTTTGGTTGGTTATTTATAGATATAGTGATGATTGGGTTTTGAAGGTTCACAAACAAGGAAGCTTGGTAGGGAGAGCTATTGATCTCTCAAGACTCAACAGCTATGATGAGTTGATGTTTGATTTGGAGAAACTTTTTGGGATGGAAGACCTCTTAAGGGATCCAAATAAAGGGTGGAGAGTTTTGTATACCGATAGTGAGAACGACATGATGGTCGTGGGTGATGATCCTTGGCAGTAAGTTCTCTTTTCTGTTTCTCTTCTCAACATAACCGACCGTTTAAGGCGGGAGAAAGGGGTAGTATTGTCATTGTACTTATACCTTTGTTTCTGATGTGTAAATTGGCTGATGGTGATGCCCTGTTTCTGCAGTGAGTTCTGTGAAGTTGTCTGCAAAATCCACATATACACAGTGGAAGAGGTGGAGAAAATGACAGTAGGGGCAGGCGGGATGAGCGACGACACTCAGAGCTGTTTGGAGGAGGCCCCGCCAGTCCCCGATGCTTCCAAGTCATCTTCTGTTGGTCAACCGGACAACAGCGATCAAGATTTGAGGCTCTATAGCTAGTAGGACTAGGACATGCATGTTTCCATTTCATCATGGTTATACATATATATTTGTTGTGTTGTGTTGGAAACACTTTTTTGTGTTACACTGGAGGTGAGGTTATTTTTCATGTGCCCTAATAATGTTCCCACTCCCATGCAACAAACCACATATGCTGGAGGAAAGTTTTTTTTTTGAATTGTTGTGTATAACATTGTGTTGTCTTATGGTAATGTACATTGAGAGAATGCCATAGGAGAGTTTATTCTATGTATCCTCTTCTTTGGAGATATGTGTAATTTATTTACTTGGTCCATCTCAGCTTTGGTTTTCCTGCACAATATAGCTGAAAAATGTCTTTTGGGTTCCTTATTCTCCTTACTTGGCTGTTATCCNAAAAGCCAAAATGTTACAGTTCTAGTATAGCTTCTCAACATTTTCTGGGCGCAGGAGGGTTGGGAGGGGGTAGGACCCACTTCGGAGCCTTCAAATGGCTCTCGATGTCTATGACACCGATGTTTGGTGTCAAAAGATTGATATTATAGACCACACAAAGTAAAGAGTAACAATGAATGGTTTGGTCTTTAATCTTTTGCAGTGGTTTGTGGAACAGAAACCGATCAAACGTGGTAATCAATTAGAGACTCAAAATCAAAGTTCTTTATGAAAGAGCTCGCGCCCGATTATCATTCTCCTGATCTCACTAGTGCCTGCCCCTATTTCATACAGCTTTGCATCCCGAAGGAGACGTCCGGTAGGATACTCATTCACATACCCGTTACCCCCAAGACATTGGATCGCCTGCAACCAAAAAACAACCTAGTATAGACTCATTTGATAAACGTGTTATTATTTAGCTGAAATGACTGAACTGGCAAAATTTTCTACAAGTGTTTGTCAAAACTAATGGTGATCTATAGCCCATTAGGTCTATAAACCCCTCATCAGTCCATAACAGAAAAATGCTTTAAATGTGGTGAAAACAACCACCATATAGTCCTCTTTACCTGAAGAGCAACTTGAGTGGCTCTTTCAGCTGCACAAAGTATTACACCTGCACAGTCCTGATATGATTCACGGAACGTTAAAATCAATGGCCAAACTTATTCTCAACTTTATTTAAATAAAATAAAACAGAGAATGCCATGTAGGGTATCTCCAAAAAAGTTGGGGAAAAAACAGGCGAAGCGATAATTGAAGGAGGAAGAAGAAGATAGCATCAGACCTTTGGATCGACCTTCCCATTGTCACAGTCCCTGGCAACAGAATATACATATGATCTGTGAAAATTACATAAAAAGAAATGTGAATTTTTAGAACTGAATAGTACATGAAATTGTGGGGGGACAGATTTAACGACAAAGAGGAGGAGCTGGCTAGCTACATGACCTTGAGGACTGTAATGCAGTATACATGTCAGCAACTTTCCCCTGAATAAATTGGTGTTCACCAATGGGCCTCCCGAATTGCTCTCTCTGGCGAACGTATGGGAGTGCCACATCAAGACAGGCCTGCATGATTCCAACAGGCCCAGCAGCTAGCACCAGCCTTTCCAAATCTAAGCCCGACATCATGACATAAACTCCTGAAGTGGTAGACAAGCCATGCCATCAATGGTCAAACACTAAAAAGAAGTTTTTATATGTTTATATGTGTTAGAGTATATAATTAACAATCATTCATGGGCCACAACCATAAGCTTGAGCTTTTGGTTGAGTTGGTTCCTTGACATGGTATCGGAGCCTTGATGACCAAGAGGTCACGAGTTCGAAACTCACCGCCACCCAGTTTTAAAAAATTAAGGTTTCACGTGCAAGGCTCAAAAAAGGTCACGCCTGCACGTGAGGGGGCGTGTTAGAGTATATAATTAACAATCATTCCTGGGCCACAACCATAAGCTTGAGCTTTTGGTTGAGTTGGTTCCTTGACAATATGTTTCTCTTATATAAAGACAACAACAAAAGATCATTACAAACTAATTTTGCTTTTCCGGAATCCAAACTTACCCAACGGTTTTACATGTTTTAAGAAAATGCTATTCGAACCTGAATGAATTACATAAACATTGAGAAGCAAAATAAATAGAGCATTTCTTGGCAGGGCCAATACCTTTCCCTTCCTGCCCAAGAACATTCTCTTCAGGAACAAAGCAGTTTTCAAACACAAGTTCACACCTGCAAGGTAGTGTTAGGTCATTTTCCGATTCCCACAATAGAGTGAGTCACTAAAACATATATATGCATTGGCTTTATAGGAAAAAGACAACCGTACGTATCACTCCCTCTCATCCCAAGCTTGTCGAGTTTCTGGGCAGTACTGAAACTGCAAAGAACAAAAAATAATGTAGAGTATGGAATGGAACACAAGCTCTATGACATATTATTAGATACAAGTGAAGGTGCTTCGTACTAGGGATGAAAAATCACTATTTCGGTCACTCAATAATTGTGGAGGTATTCAACTTGAGTATCTTTTGCAATTTCATATAAGCTTGAATTTGTACCCTTTAATGATCTTAGGGAAACAACATCTGTGTTTTTTTACACGGGTAAGCCTGCATACATTTCTGACCCCCTAGACCCCAATGGAGTAGGGTTTATATTGGGTTTTGTTGTTCTATGCATTTGTATTCTTCTTTTCTCTAAAAAAAATCATGCGGCTGTTAAAAGGCGCGAGAGACTGAATTGACAACTTTTTATGAGATTGAGGGGCTGAATTTTACCAACTCACAAAGTTGACAACTTTCAACAAGTCAATAAGGGACTACACTGCAGGATATGAAACAATTCAAGGACCAAAACAATGATTTTCCCTAATAAAGATAAGGCAAAATTACTCTAAGTTGGAAAGTTGCACTTTGGTCCCTTAGTTATAGTGTAATAGCCAAATTGGTTTGTCAACTGCACTACTGCAGTAGTTAAAATGCAGTCTTTTCCAAATTAATCCATCTAAATATATTTATTTTGTTAGTATATTTTATCAGTATAAAAGTGCATACCCAGTCATTCCCTTCTCAATGATAAAAGCCGTGATTCCTTTTGAGCGCTCCGCCATATCTGTTTTAGCATAAACAACCTATCCAATGCAACCCATCAATGTTGGACCTTAAAATATACTCCAAACGTCCCATTTTATCGTACCTACTTTGACTGAGCATAGAACTTAATAATGAAGAATAATACCAGCGTCTGAGCCACAGGACCATTGGTACACCACATCTTATTCCCATTCAGAAGATAACCCCCATCAACACGATCAGCTCTACATTTCATGCTAACAACATCCGAGCCAGCTGAAAAGGGAACCATATGTATTACAAACCATTTCTTTCAACAAACAAAAAACTTACTCCCTCTGTCCCCAATTTGATTACAAATTGCGGGTTACGGAGTAAAATTTCCTACTTTTTGAAATCATTTTATTTACAAATTGGTATATCAATAAGATATAAAAGTTACATATTAAAAAACTACATCAAAAGTTTTACAAAACAAGAGGTGACAAGAATATTTTATTTTATTTTATTTTATTTTATTTTATTTTATTTTATTTTATCAAATACTTAATAAAATCGCATAAACAAACAAAAGTTATCGAGAGGAGAGAGAGAAAAAAATTGTAATCTACTTAGGGACGGAGGGAGTATGAAATATTGCAAATGGTTTAATGAGAGAAATAAAATTGCAATGAAATTTTCGGGAAACTTACCATTGGGTTCACTCATGGCAAGAGCCCCGACATGTTCACCACTGATTAGCTTCACCAAATAAATAGAGTGAGCCCATTAGACAGTGAATAAATTTATAACTTACTGAAACTGGGGAAAAAGAATGTGACTTGTAGCAAAGAAAAAAGTTTGAAATAATCAATTTGCAATTGTTAAAGATTAAGAAGGAATGATGGGTTAATACGATGTTAAAATGAACTAGCTAATCAAATGTAGTCTTTTAGTATTCGACCCAAGTTTCTCATGACCAAGTTGAGTGACCACAGCACAGTCTTAAATTCTATTAGCAATGAATAAGAAATTTTATCATGAAGTCCTATTTATCGAAGCTCGGAGTGAGCCGAACATCTAAAACCATCAATAAGACCATTTGCCATTGGTTCTTTTGGTTCTTAAAATTTTACTTTTAGGTTCATATTGTTGTCAAACAGTGGATCTAAAAATCCATGGCTCTCATACATGAACAATGTGGTAAAGACACAAACCACGTTTCACTGAAAGTACTGAAAAACTATAGTTAGTCTGCCTCCTTGTATTTCTAAGACCACCGTTCGGCAAAAGGTTTCACTTTAGAACCGACACGACTATTAAGAAAATCAAAACTATATAATTGAGACTTATGCAAAGGAAAGATAAATAATATGAACAACACAATTCTTGCCTTAAAAGTGACCTTTTTTCGGGACAAATGAATAAGTAAACGTGGAAATTTTGCAGGACTGAACAGGTATCATTTTTTTGCATCTCACATATATCTAAAATATTTATTTAGACATACATCATAGCATTCATCAAACACAGAGAAGGAACAGAAGTCAATCAAGAAGATAAAAAATACCTTTGGCAAATACTTTTTCTTCTGATCAGGATTTCCATTTCTCACCTACAAGATCTTAAATATTAATACACTGGGGAAGCAACGCACATACAGTTTTGTAAAAATAACATTTGGAGTTAAAACTTTTTACCAACTGATTGATACACAAGTTGGAGTGGGCACCAAACGAAAGGCCTACCGAGCCCGAGGCACGACTAATTTCTTCCAAAGCTATACAGTGATATAAATAACCAAGGCCGAGCCCTCCATACTCCTCTACGGAAACCAAATAGATGGTTAAAAAATGACTGTCTAGTGCCTTAATCAACACATTTCTTTTTAAAAAAATGATGATTAACCTGATGAATTTAACTCATACATGATGGATGTCACACACTCAAATTAATTAAGTAGAGCAACGGAGATTAATGGAGCTAAAAGAGTCATTATTGACAATGTTTTAGCTTCGGGTAGCAATGAACTAAATCAGAATGACACATTAAACTTCCCTTTTGCTTCTTAGTTCTTGCCGGCTATGAAGTTTTTTATAATAAATGACCCAACGCATCAAGCTGTGTGCATCTTGACCCCACAAACCCCAATGTAGTTGGTACTACACTGGATTTCAATGTATTTTTTAAAGATCCACATAAAGAATATTTTAGAATGTGTTTTTTTCCCTATAGAATATTTGAGGCCTCAAATGATGAACGATGATAGATAACTTACCCTAATATCTAAAAAGCTAGCTATGGTATAACAATGTGTCCTACAAAAATCCATCTTAGCTCAATTTATACCTGGAGCCGTAATTCCATGGAGATTGAAACCTCCCATCAATTTCCATAAATTAACATCCTGAAAACACAATCACCACAAAATCCCCATAATATCTTCAAGAAAAAAAACACATAGGTTTTTGTTTCTTTTTTGTCAATCTACCTTGGGAAAACAGTTTGTTCTGTCTATTTCTTCCGCTCGAGGAGCAATATGTTCTTGAGCAAACTGAGCCACGCTTTCTTTGAACTGAAATCAGAAAAGAAATAAAAATCAAACCTTCTAATTTCTTTTTTTTTTCAAAAAAAAAACCCTCCATTGGAATAATCAGCAAGAAATTGGGGATGCAGAAGTAACCTGAATCTGGGTATCATCGAAGAGTAAAGAAGTGGAGAAAGGGGATGCTAGCTGATGCCGGGTCCGATTTTTAAATAACGCAGGAGCTGAGGACCTGATGGCAAATAATTTATGCATTTTGATCACAGTGGTGACAAGAAGGCAAAATACATAAGAGTGACAAAGATGATCAATCAGTATTGAGCTCCAATGAAGTACAGAAAATATATATCCACTATTTTTCTATCTTCTTCTTCTTCTTTTTTTTTTTTACAAAAAATAAAGATTGTGCTAAAAACAGCAAGAGGATATACTCCATATAGAAGATGGCATCACTGATGATGGAGATTTGGATAAGATCGCATCACTTATTCACTTATGGTGGAAATTTGGTATTTTACCATAACACCATGAGATTACCGTTCAAGCCACTTTTTTGGTCATGGATGGCAAAGAGGTGGCATTCGGATCAACCAGATTGGTTTCGGATTGAATTTTTTCGATTCAGATATTTTTCAAATGTATGTTATAAGCAGTTTGTATTGGTTATTTTTGTTCGGATGTGATTCGGTTCTATACATTTTTGTTTTGATTGGCTTTTGAGTCAGTTCGGATATAAATCGGTTAGATAGATTTCAGTTCAGATGCAATTTGGATCAGATATATTTTTTATTTGGATATGTTTCAGGATATATTTTGGTTGAATATATTTGGTATATATATATATATATATAATTTTCTAATTAAAATATAATTATCCATTTTCTTTTTTTGTTTTATCACAATTCACAGTTATCAATCTATCATCAATTCAACATCTCATAATATTTTATACTCCCTCCGTCCCATGAAACATGGGATGTTTTACTTTTTGAAAAGATTTAAGTGAGTGTATTTTGGTATTGAATTTCCAAAAATATCCTTTGATGTGATGGGTAAAAGTAGAATTTGATGGGTAGATTATTAGTAAAAAGGTATGATGTGATAGATAAGGTATGAAAAAGTAAGGGGTAAAAGTGATTTTTTAATAGAAATGAGAAGTGTTTTATGGTACGGATGAAAAAAGAAAGGAGAAAGGTTTTATGGGAGAGAGAGAGTATTTTTTAATTATACTATCTTCACCCTAAACAATCTTTCTTTTTTGATTTTTTAGTCGTAGTTAAAAAATTTGGACTACAAATTATGAAAATAAATATATTTAATTATGAAATAAATTAATATAATTAAGTTTATTTTATAATTTAATTTTGATATATCAAATTTTTATCACATCTACTATTATCTGTATATTTATAAATGAAAAGATAAAAGATAAATTTAAATAATATTACGCTTTGATTGAATACAATTTGGTAAAAATTGAGTGTAATTAAGTAAAATTAAGTGAATTTTATTTAATACTACTCCTAAAAATTCATAGAATTGAATAAGATTAATACAATTGAGTACAAGTTTTATAAATTATTTGAGTGTATTTTGTTGAAATTAGATAAAATTAAATTCAATAAAGTCAAATATAATTAATTTTACACCTAAATTTAATGGTGTTGATCAAATTAAATTTGAAAATGATAACACTAAATATTGTTGCTAGAGAGCCTTTTCAAAATGATAATGCTAACCTCTAACGTTATTGTGTAATATTCTGTGAAATGGTTTGAAACTAATCAAATTAACACCCAAACCAATAAAATTTATTGTAATTGGATAAAATTAGGATAAAATGATTAAAATCTAGTTTTTTCATGGAATTCATCATATAATCCTTCTATCCGAGAAAAAATATCACACATCACTATTTAAAAATTACAGAAGTTTTATTTATTGGTGCATTTTTATTAATTATATGATAAAGTAAACTATTATTCTTAGCTTGTAACCTCTTATTTTGTGATATGCGCGCATGGGTGGAGTTGTCCGTCCATGTCCCGGCGCAACCAGCTTCTACGGCGGCTTGGAGTGAAACAGTAGGGGGCCGGATTAGGGTTTTTGAGAGGGATAGAGAGTTTCTAGGAAAGGAGGAATATTTTCATTCAATGCCCTTGATGTTCCATGTACGTGCATCTTTTATAGGTGTATATTCCCCTAATCCTAAAGTAAAAGAAAAACTAACTTGTCGGTTCAATAAAAGCATCAAGGGAATGAACCGAAAAGAAAATTTTTGAATGGACTTATAATTAGCCCACCTAGTAAAATCTACGTTACAAATAATTTAAACAAAAATGAGAGTTACACATAGTCCTCGTAGCATTGCGGTGGTCGTCGGGGTCGCCCGACACTTCCATGTCCTCATGCTCTATCACTTGGTCGTCCCGGATCGTATGAACTCTCCCGACTCGAGAACGACATTGTCCTCAAGGCAAAGATGTTAGAGTGTCATCCCACATCGGAAATTCAAGAGTAAAAATAATTGATATATAAGTTTTTGATGAGTTGAACTAACTAATTGATGCTCCCAAGTTGTGTCCGCATCTGTACCATCCGACTAGCGGACCAACCACTATTCCTGCGACTCACCCTCCACCAAAACCTTGCGACGGGTGATGGTGGCCACTAGAGAAGAAATCGACTGCCCTTTAAAGAAGTCTGCTGGGAGTGTTGCCGCGGGGCACTACCATCATGTTACGGACCAATCATCGACACCGCAGGATACTACGACGAGTGCCGTTGGACGTCCCAAGAGGAACGTGGGTCGGCCCAGGAGATATCAAGATTATATTTAATCATTTATTATTTTATGTACCTAGATTTTCATTAGGTGAACGTTTATAAGCTCCTTCGAGGGTTTCTTTTCGGTTCTTTACCTCGACGCCTTTTTTGAACCGACATGATAGAAAACGTAGTTAAATAGGAATGGGGAACTCTATCTATATAAGGGGATGTAATACTTTATTTACACCCTAAGCATAATAATAGACATCCTTCTTCCCCTAAACTTCTCTCTAAAACCCTAAATCCCTTTTCCCCGTAGCTTCTGTCTTCCTCCTTGCCGCCCCAACCTTCGGCAGCTGTGTGATACGGGAAACCTCCGTATCATCTGATGCTTTCATTGCTCGATCTCATGACGACTCCTGCGGATAGCTCTCCACCGGTCTTGACTCTCAAAGACCTTATGCATGCCATCAATGATATTCAGAAAGATTTGCAGTCCACAAAGGTTCGTGTCGCTGACTTAGCGTCCACATCCGCCACTGACGGCCGCTCCAACTTCTATCCTCCACCGACGGGCTGGCGACCTCCACCGTCGCGTAGTGCTGGTGGCTCTTCCGAAACCACCCCACGCATGCGCGTCGATGCTCCTCGATTTTCCGGAGAGGATCCTACGGGGTGGATCTTCCGCATTCAGAAATATTTTGACTACTTTATGACTCCCGATTCCGAAAGGCTGCACTTGGTCGCTATGCTCATCGATCACCCGGCTTCAGAGTGGTCTATTATCAGGCCAATAACAGTGGCGCCACATGGGATGAGTTCCTCGTTGCTGTGCATCAAAGGTTTGATCCCCATTATTATGAAAACTACGTCGGCATGTTATCCAAATTAACCCAAACCTCATCGGTCATGGATTATCAAACCACGTTTGAGTCATTACTTAATAAGGTCTCGGGTGTGTCTGAAGCTACTTTGGTTTCGATGTTTGTGACGGGCCTTAAACAACCCATCCAGCATGAAGTCAACCTTCGGAACCCTACCACACTCCCGTCTGCATTCGCCTTAGCCCGAGAATTGGAGGCTTGTCATGTTGATGCAGCGACGGTTCTCTCACCAGGTTCTCGCCGTTCGTGGCCTCCACGTTCTCCTGCTGCCGGGGCCTCATGCATATTGCCTACACCTCCCGCCACCACACGTTTGCCACTGGTCACTGCTCACTTCCCTGGTCTGTCCTCCCCAGCCCCTTTACCGGTGGTTCGTGTGTCCGCTGAGGAAAAGGCAGAGCGCAACAAGAAGGGTTTATGCTGGTGCTGTGACGAAAAGTGGATTCCGGGGCATAATTGTAAGCGACGCTTTCTTCTTCTCATGAAGCCGAATGCTACGGATGGGGTTGATCCCGGTCCACCAGAGGACTCCGCCCCCGTTGACGACCCTACCCTTATCAATAGTGATATTTCCAGTATTCACTCCTTGGCGGGCAGCCCTAGCCCTCGATCTCTGAAAATCACTGGGTCGGTCCACAATTTTGCAGTGCAGGTCTTGTTGGACAGTGGGAGCACCCACAACTTTGTTCATCCCACAGTGGCCGAACGACTAGCCTTGGTGTTGCATCCCGTTCCGCCCTTCCGGGTCTATGTGGGTAATGGGGACTCCTTGCGCTGCTCTTATTCTTGTCCACGCACCCCGCTGATGCTCCACGACCATCTTTTTGACATTGATTTATTTCTTTTGGAGATCCATGGCCCGGATATGGTTTTGGGCGTGCAATGGCTTCAGACGCTTGGCAAGGTTTCCCACGATTATGCGAATATGACAATGGAGTTCATGTGGAAGGGCAAGCCAGTGACCCTACGGGGGGATGCCCCTGGGCCGAAACCAATTTCCTTCAGTCAATTGTGTTTGTTGGCAGGTGACGCCTCTGCCTATGATCTTTTACGAGGTGTTTCCGTCTTATTCTATGCACATGACAGAGTCCACTTCGGAGGATGATATCCTGGCAGATGCCCCCCCGGACGTTCGCCCTCTCCTTGAGTCCTACCGCGATGTGTTCGCGCAACCACAAGGGCTGCCACCATCTCGGGCGTGGGATCATCGAGTCCATCTGGAAGCCAATACCAAGCCGGTTAATGTCCGGCCTTACCGCTATCCATACTTTCAGAAAACCGAAATTGAGCGGCAAATCCGTGACATGTTAGCGCAGGGCATTATTCTACCCAGTCAGAGCCCTTTTTCTTCTCCTGTATTATTGGTTCGAAAAAAGGATGGGACTTTCCGCTTTTGTGTGGATTATCGGGCATTGAATGCCGTCACCGTTCCTGATCACTTCCCCATACCGACGTCGGATAAGCTTTTTGACGAGTTAGGGGCTGCTCGGGTATTCACTAAGTTGGATTTACGGTCCGGCTATCATCAAATCCGTATGCATACTGCGGATGTTTTTAAGACGGCCTTTCGCACTCACGACGGCCATTACGAGTTCCTAGTAATGTCGTTTGGGCTGACTAACGCCCCGTCTACCTTCCAATCTGCCATGAACAGTGTCTTTCGTGAGCATCTCCGCCGGTTTTTGATCGTATTTTTCAACGGCATCCTTGTCTACAGCCCCAATCTAGCCGCCCCCACCAGCCACCTCCACACGGTTTTGGATCTCCTGCGTCATCACTCCTTCTTTGTCAAAGGGAGCAAATGTTCTTTTTGTAAATCTACCGTGGCTTATTTGGGTCATATACTCACTGGAGGAGAGCTTAAAGCTGATGCCGACAAAATCGCCGCAATGGTTGCATGGCCGAAACCCACCACCGTCCGAAAGTTAAGAGGATTTTTGGGACTCACGGGATATTATCACCGCTTCATTGCCGGTTATGCTTTGATTGCTGCTCCCCTGACCGATCTATTAAAGAAAGATAGCTTCCAGTGGACGGACGAGGCGGATTCCAGTTTCCACCACCTCAAACGGGCAATGACCACGACACTGGTTTTGCGCCTTCCCGATTTCACGAAGCCTTTTTCATTGGAGACCGATGCGTCCGCCACAAGGTTCGGCACCGTACTCTTACAGGAGGGTCACCCCTTGGCATACTACAGTAAGAAGTTGGGCCCCCGTCTTCGCATGGCGTCTACGTACCACAAGGAACTCTACGCGATCGTGGCGGCAGTCCAGAAATGGCGCCAATATTTGTTAGGCCGGGAGTTTATTATTCGTAGCGATCAGCGCAGCCTTAAAGAGCTCATGTCACAGGTGATTCAAACTCCGGAGCAACAGCTTTATATACGCAAACTCATGGGGTACAAATTTTGGGTGGAATACAAGACCGGTCCCTCCAATCTCGCCGCCGATGCGTTGTCCCGGAGAGACGACCCCAGTGAGGCCTCCAACCTATTTATACATTATGCCAGACCCTTGCCAGCCCTATTGAAGGATCTCTAGACGGAAAACAGTAGCCTGCCGGATAATAATAGGAATGGGGAACTCTATCTATATAAGGGGATGTAATACTTTATTTACACCCTAAGCATAATAATAGACATCCTTCTTCCCCTAAACTTCTCTCTAAAACCCTAAACCCCTTCTCCCCGTAGCTTCTGTCTTCCTCCTTGCCGCCCCAACCTTCGGCAGCTGTGTGATACGGGAAACCTCCGTATCACATCACGAGGGAAAAAAGGTTTCAAAAGGGAGACGTGAAAAACGTCTTGAATCCGACACTCCAATATTTCAAACGGCCCGTAGTAACTTCAGGAAAGCTTTGATGACAACGGCCTAGCCACCGAATGTTGGCGGTATGTTGGCGGTAGGGGCGGAGTTTAAGAAAAACCAAATCCCCAACCGAAAAGGATACCTCTCGACGATGTTGATTAGCTTGTAAACGCATCCACTGCTGCACTTTGATGAGATTGGCCCGAAGATCGGCTTGTAACTCTGCGCAGCATTGTCTCAAGGGGAGAACAAAAAGGAATAAAAATATAAAAAACAATCTTTTTCTTTAACTCCATATTTTATTTCATCTTTCAGTCATTTATTTTTTAAAGCCCTTAAAAAATTATTTTACTTTTAAAAAACAAATAAGTTAGAATTTTTAATTGGAGATAGAGCGAGTATATGTTATCTAGTTTTTATTTTATTTATTTTACTTTTACGTATAATGAAAAAGTATACTCCGTATTTTATTTATTTTTTTAATTTTTCATTTTTTGGAACATTTTGTAAAAAAAAGTTATTCTTATGAAAATTAAATAAATAAACAATTTTAATTTGAGAAAGAGGGCGTATATTTTATTCTAATTATTTGTATAACAAAAAATGCAAATAAAATAATGAAAATTGAAGATAGAGAAAAATCAAGGGCAGAAATATATCATTTCATGTCTAAAAATAGGTGAGAGGGGGCGTTTGTGCACTATTTAAAAAACAACATGAATTTTACAAATAATTTTTGAGAATAGAGAGGCCAGGCTTTGACACTCCATTTGTAAACTACGGAGCACCCATGGTATATATTAGAGAAATTTACTTAAATAGCACTAAAATATAATAACTTTCTCTAAATAGCACCACATGTGTTTTTTTTCAAATATAGCACTTTTAGTTATTATGCATTAGTCATTATTCAAGCGAATATTCGCACTCACTGGACATTATTAACATTATTAAATGCTATTTAGAGAATAAAATAATTTAAGTGTTATTTACGGAAATGACTTAAGTTTTAGTGCTACTTAATGCAAATATTTCTATATATTATCCTCTAGAAGTCCCCTCTGAAGTCCGTAATGACGTAACGCTGTTTGAAAAAAAAGAAGCAATCCAAACAAAATCCTTGTTTTTATGATCGATGAAGACTAACCGCCTCTTTCTAAGGTGTCGGTCATCTCATACTCTCTCCGTCCCAAAAAGAATTTCCTACTTTAATTAACGTGCAAAACCCCGTGGATTTTAAAATGATTTTATTTCCAAATTGGTAAGGAAATAACACATAAAAAAGTTATATTTAAAAACTACATCGAAAACTCTACAAAATAAGAGGTGACAAGAATATTTTATTTGATCAGGTGATCAATGAAAACACGCAAACAAATAAGAGTTATCGAGAGGCCGTAATAGTACACAAGAAAGACTTTTTGAGACGGAGGGAGTATAACTGAAGACGACGCCGGCCAAGCTAGCCAATCAGAGATCGAAAAAGATCGAGGAACAAATTAAAGTTGCTCGGGACCCTGTGTGTGTTATTAAGTATGTATACTCATAGTATGTATGTATGTATCTCTATTATTATTTTTTAATTTTTTAATTTTTCATGTTTTGGAACATTTTGTAAAAAAATTGTTATTTTGAAAATTAAATAAATGAAAATTTTTAATTTGAGAAAGAGGGCATACATTTTATTCTAATTATTTGTATAACAAAAAATGCAAATAAAATACTGAAAATTGAAGATAGAGAAAAATGAAGGGGAGAAATATCATTTCATGTCTAAAAATAGGTGAGAGGAGATGTTTTTGTACTATTTAAAAACAACATGAATTTTACAAATAATTTTTAATAGAGAGGTCGGGCTTTGACACTCCATTTGTAAACTACGGGGCACCCATGATATATATTACCCTCTAGAAGTCCCCTTTGAAGTCCGTAATGACGTAACACTGTTTGAAAAAAAGAAGCAATCCAAACAAAATCCTTGTTTTTATGATCGATGAAGACTAAACGCCTCTTTCTAAGGTGCCGGTCATCTCATATAACTGAAGACGACGCCGGCCAAGCCAGCCAATCAGAGATCGAAAAAGAGGAACAAATTAAAGTTGCTTGGGACCCTGTTGGATGCCGCCTTGTCCCCCAACGCAACCGTGGCCCAAAGCCAGTTATTAACGTACAGCCCATTTCACCTACACCCTCAAGGCCTACAACGACCAGACACTAACCAAAACAAAACCATTTTCTATCCACCCGTGCATGGCACGAGTTAAAATACTAGTTTAGATGAAATGGAAGCCCTTACAACTTTACTAAAAAAGTTGTATACCCAAATTTTTTCAAAAAAATGGATTTAAATAAGATTTTGTATTATTAACTTTCGACGGATTAAAATATTTCCTTACATTGCTAAATATTAGATGTAAATCTTTCAAATTTAGATGCCAAATGTCTACGTTCTTGCAGATCATATAAGAAATAAAATTTATTCAATAATTCGAAAGATATTACAATGGAAAAAATTTATAGAATCGTACAAAATTTTGTTACACCCCACATTGTTCGAAGGAAAAAATTAAAAAAGCATTCCAAACGAAATCCCTCTTCCAAACAAAAAGCATTCCAAACTAAGTCTATATAGAAATAAAGTGAGAAACACAAAAGGCTTAACATTTTGAAAACTAGGTAGTGGAGAATGCCGTATCCAAACCGCGCTCTTTACAAATAAAGTGAGACACACAAAAGGCTTAACATTTTGAAAACTAGGTAGTGGAGAATGCCGTATCCAAACCGCGCTCTTTACAAATAAAGTGAGACACAATATAAATTAAAAATCATTACATATATATATATATATATATATATATATTCATGATGGATGAAAGACTAAGATGCCCGTAATCTCATGTAACTGATCAAGACTAAGATGAAGAATTTTTTTTTGTTTTAGTTCTCGAAGTTTCGCAATGAGAGAGAATCGAAAAAGAGGAACAAAGAACGAAAGTGAGTGCCTAAGCAACACATACTCCTTGCCTAAAGTTTGATACGAACTTGTATCACATATGAAGGAATTTTGAGCGTTCTTCAAGTTTCAAGAAATTGAGATGTGAAGCAGAAGAAATCATGTTGGCTTTGACAGCCAATTAACGAGAAGAGAGAAACATTGTGGCGGAGCCGTGCGTAAAAGTTCTGTGGAAGATAAATCTAATCAAATCATTTCCATTTAAACATACGTTACAATTTTTATTTAATTACTGTAATATTCAAAGTTTGTTTAATTTAGCTTGAAAAAGTCAAGTTAATGTGAAGGAATACAACACCAATATTTCAATAAATTTAATTACAAATAATTTGTCCTGAAATAAGTTTAGTCCAATGGTGCATTTCTATTGCTAATGATGGATTGCAGAGGATGAAATTGACGCACCATAAAATATGTTATCTCCATCTCAAAAGCCTGTCCCATAGAAAGAAAATTTTTCTAAGTACGTTCTTGGGATTCATGATTATTTTATGAACCCTCACGCATAAAATAATTTTATGTAACGACCTTGTATAAATTAAGAGATCTAATTATGAATCCATGAAAAAATATGTAAAAATATTTACATTCTACGTGTGGACTTTAGGACCACAATAGATTTGTACTGAATAAGACTAAAACTTAAGTCATTTCTCAATGTAAGACTTGAACTTTTTTATTCTCTAAGTAGGATTTAATAATGGCTACTGAGAAGAATAATGCCCAAGACTCCAAGTGATGCTGGACATTTAGTTGAATAATGACTAATAAATAATAACCAATAGTCCTACATTGGAAAATAAAAACATATGATCCTATATTAAGAAAGTCATTATGTTTTAGTTTTATTTAGCTAAATTATCCCTTATTCTATGATAGACATAGAATAACTTTTTATTGAAAGGTGCAATATCTAAAGTAGGTGAGAATTTGAATATTACTTTCCTATAAGTTGGTTGTTCCCATTACACGTCGTCACGATTCGAGTCTCTCTTGACTTTATTTTTATATATACTCCTTCTGTTTCGTAGTATTTGTCCACTTTTGACTTTTTTGATCAAAATTAGTAAATTTTGACCCCAAATTAAATAAAAATAATATTAGATATTGATAAAAAACCAGTTTTTTAGATTTATTATATAAGATATTTTCACAATATTATTTTCACTAATTAGTATACAATATATATATTTTAATTAATTATAGATGAAAGAATGAAAATGATTGACTGAAAAAAGTCAAAACTGGATAAAAAAAGATAAAAAAAGTCTAAAAAACAAGAATGAAATGAAAAGTATCATATTATAAAATGAATAGTGAAAATAATCAAACAAAATTAATAAAGTTTGGTTGTATGCATAGTATCTGCTTCTCTGCCACCGCACCGCCGCCGCTGCCGCCGTGCCGTCGTTGCTCCGCCACATGTCGCCGCCGCTGACCGGTGGTTGACCGGGGTTGCTACTTTATTTTTTATTAATTTTTTAATTTTTAAAATGTAATAAAAAAAGTGAGTTTTGGAGTTCAAAGTGGTTAACTTTGCTTTATTTCTAGGTGAGGTTTGCATTGTGCATTGGTGAGCTTTGTAGTGCAGTGTGGTGAGCTTAACGTCATCTCACTGAAGCATGTCATCCACCGTAAGGTGTCATCTCACTGGAGTCAATTCATAT